TCGGCACAGGTTCGGAGGAGCTGGGCCTTACTTGTCACCAGAGTCGTCTCTGGGAGCAGATGCTCAGTGTGGGCAATAGTCACTTAGCCTTTCCAGAGCCGAGGAACAGCTCGCTGTGGTGTTTTTAGAACCTGTATTTTGAGTCAGTTTGTCCCACTTGACTCGAAGTTGCTGCGAAGTTTCAGACCTTTGCCTCGCACCGTGCGCTCGTTTTCTTTTTCCCTGATAACTGCCTCGGTTGCCCCCGGCCTGACATTCGAGCCTCGTCGTTCACGGACACAAGTTCCGTGGTGGGGACCAGGCCGCGACTCCGGCTTGCACAGTTCTGTGCCTGTCACCGTGGTTTATCACATCACTCCCAGGATCTCCCGTTTACAGGAAGAGTGTCCCTTTCCTGCAAGGCCCTGTGTGGTGTGGAAACCACCCCTCCCTGCCTTTCTCCTGTTTGAACTGTACCGTGAAGCTACTTCTGTTCTAGTCAACCGTCAGAATTTAAGGAACGGTGATTTATGTAACTTATCACATGCTTCTCAGCAGTTCTTTATGAATTTCATTCTGTTGTGAAATGATTGCAGTTTTCATGGCTATGCTGGTCTCACGTTGTGGCCCTTGGTAACTATCTTGAAATGAATTGCCTTCCCCATTGTGTGTTAAGGTTTTGCCTGGGAGCTGTTGAGCCCTCACCTCTGCTTAGGGCGGTGGCTTTGCTCTCCTGACAAGAGGAAGAAACTTATTTAGAGCATTTCTAATGTGGTTTTTGCTTCCAGACAGAATTACTTTTTTCACAAAGAGACAGCCACTAAAGACGTGGAAACACGTAGAATCCTTTGAGGAAACGTGTGTTTCTAACTTGCTGTAAGATAGAATTGGAATTTGTAATGATTTTGTTTTCTAGAGTCTGGGTAGAATAGGGAGACAGTGTAATAAAAGCTAATTTTGAAATGAAGAATTTGAAAGATTTTCAGCAGCAATAGCTCTAGGAAGTCACCCTGGAAATGTTTTTAAAGATGTTCAGTAGCAATAGCTCTAGGAAGAGTCACCCTGGAGTTGCTTCTTGAGCATTTGTTTCCTGGCTATATGTTCCGACTTTCATTTTTAAGTTTTGCTGTGAGTTGGGGATGTGTGGGAATAACCATCCCCAGGTGTTGGGTAGGAGTGGCCCTGCAGGGGTGCGTGTGCCCTGAGGCCTGGGGCACTGTTTCAACCTAGCTTGGAACATGGGGACTCTTGTCAGTGGCTGGAGTAAGAGTACCAGCCTGGCAGGCTGGGGGAGCCCTGGGGTGGTCTGGGCACTGTCCTCCCTGCCTGCAGGACGGCAGCTGGAGGAGCTCGAAGGCTGCCTGCCTCGTGGCTGTCAGCAGAGCAGCCCCTCCTGGCCCTGGAGCAAGCCTTGGGTCCACGAATCTCTGCACCTGGACTTGCTTCCTGGGACCTCCGCCACTGTCCCGAGGGCCCTGGTGCCACTTTTCCAGTGGGACCCAAGCCTCCGGCAACTGCGACCCCAGATTCGGTTGCTTTCCCTGACGTCTCATTCCAGCACGAGTGCTCACCTCACTCAGTGCAGAGCCTCAGGTTCCCTCGAGATGCCCAGACAGAATCTTCCAATTTAACAAGATCGTTGGTGACAAGATTTGAGTGGCACTGATTTAACTCAGCTTCCAGAGTTTAAGTTCCCAAGACACAGTCCTGCTCCTTTCCTGCCCTCATCCTGTGTGGATGCGGGGTTTCTGGAGGGTGGGGCTGAGGCAGTGGCTGCTGTGGGGTTTCAGTTTCCGGAGGGTGGGGCTGAGGCAGGTCAGCAGCAGGGGGATGGATGGCTCATTATTGTTCGTTCAATGCCTTGAGGGATAGCTAGGATTAATGACCTTTATAGGATTGTAGGTTTGGGGTATTTTTTTTTTTTAAACGAATTGGATTTCATGTGGGGCAACCTACAGCAGTGTGGCCTCGCCACGTGCCCAGCAAGTCACCTGCTGACACTGTTACTGTGTGTGTTCCCATCATCCCACGAGGTGGCCACAGTTATCACCGCATTTTTCTGACATGAAACTTGGAGAGCAAAGGGTTTAAGAAACTCCTGAAGCCACACTGTCAGCGGGACCCGGGTGGTCTGACCTTAGACCCTGCATTGTTTACCCCCGCCACGCTGTCAGCAGACCCGCGTGGTCTGGCCTTGGAACTCACGCTGGTTGCCCCTCCCTGCCACGTTGTGGGGTTTTTCCTGCTTCGGGGCAGCGTTTGATAGCTTGTGAAACAAAACCAAGACTTACTACAAGTGGATATGCCATTATCTGAGATCCAGAACATTCCTTGGACCTGGCCTTGCGGATGTCACGTAAGGGGAGGTAAAAAGCATTTTCACTGTGGTCATTGGGGCTCCTGAAATGGTGTTCTTCCCAGTGAAAGTTCACCATAAAAATCTGTTAACTCAATACTGTGAACAGGAAGAGGTGTGTTGGGCTCTAGTTAAATGTCTCAGAGCCACAGAAGTAAATGAGGGCACCTTCAGAGCACAGCCTCCTGGAGGAGGCCAAGGACGTTTGCCTGGAGGGTTTGCCGTGAAGCAGTACTTGGGCAGGGCTGGTCGGCCTGGAGAGGCCTCTGGCATGATGTAAGTTAGTTGAAGTAGTTGAGGGGTGGTGGCGTGAGGTCGGTGGTCCCTGAGGAAGCCCCTAACAAGGCCGGTTGCGGTGGGATGGAAAACTGCCCTTCAGTGGCTGTAATCCTGGCTTCACGGGTCCGACGGACATTCCTGCACTTTGGATACTTGGATCGCAGCCAGGTCAGATGGTCCTGAAAGGACATTCGGGCTGTGACGGCTGCACCCATTCTCAGCATCTGCAGGGCCTTCCCTGGTGTGTTTCCATTTGCTTTCAGAGGCTCAGCACAATTTAATTCTCTCTCCCAGAGAAGTCTCGAGAAATAGAAGGACATGTGGAATGAAGGACGTGATTGAATAGAGTGTGGTGTGGTCTTCGACCTTGTTTTGCCTTGGTTGGTGCTCAAGAACTCCGCCTGCCCTGGGCCGAGCGTTTCTGCCAGGAATTCCTGCCTTTTATCCTGCCTCTGAGGCCCGTTGAGACACTCCAAGAAGCTTCTTTAACAAATTGCCTTTTCCTTTTACAGCCGTTGGATATATTTGCAGCAAAACAAAGGAATAACCTCCCAATGTGGTGATTAAATGCATTTAAGTATAGATAACATTCAGTCTTGAAGGGCCTGGGTTTTTAATCATCTTTGGGTCATGTAACCAGTGTTGTTGGTGATTAAAGTCTCCTGACAGCTCTGTTCTGCCACGTTCCTCAGTTTTGAATGATCTTCCTGGTTGTACCTTGGAGCGGCGTTTGTGGCAGTAGAGAAGAGAGTGGTGGTTCCCAGAGGCTGGGAAAGGACAGAGGTGAAGCCTCTGCAGGACGCCAGTCTTCCTGGTTTAGGGGTTTCGGGCTCAGTCACCTTCCTGTGTCGTGTAAATTACACCCAGGATCATTTTCACTCCCCCCACTTTAGTTGAACATTAGATCTTCAGGATGTGTGTGCCCACGTCACCTGGGCCGTGATCCTGGAGCTGGGTGAGACTGTGATTCCTGGTTTTATAGAATTACTTGGAGATTATTAAAAATAAAAGCGCTTTGAGGCATTATTTCTTGAACGTAATTTATGTGCAGTTCTTGGGAAACATTTCTCTGAGGAAGCATCTATAATTTTTGTTTTCTGCTGCTCAGTGCTAAGAAAGAATTGTGCAACACTTGAGTGAGAGCGGCGTTATTCCCCTCCCTCCGCCATGCAAGCAAGATTAAACGTGCCTCTGGCTCCCCTCGGTCTTCTCGCCTGGTGTGGCAGTGTGCTGCCTTCCGTCTTCTCTCTGGGGAGAATTACTGGTGTTTGTGTGTGCTGCTCAGCTCAGCGTGGTGCGCCTGAGGAGCTTGGTTGCTAGGTGATCCTCCCAGGCCCGCCTCCTGCCTCCCCAGGCCTTGTTCTAAACTGACAGATAACCGGTGTGTGTTGGAAGAGGACAGCTGCAGGGCAGGAGAGCGTTTGTTCAGACTTTCTCCTTGCACTGACGTTTGAGACCTGGTCCAGCCTGGGTCCCTCTACCACTCCCTCCCCGTAACTGTGTGTTGCAAACCACTCCCTCCCAGTAACTTTGCTTTCAGAGGTTTGGAAATGTGACTTAACTCATCTTCAATTTAAAGCATACTATTAAATTTTAATGTTGAAACTGATGTATTTTATGGCCTTTATTTGATTTCTCTTGCTTTTTTTCCCCCATATAAGACATGGCATCTTAGGGAGACAACCTGGTGTTGGCCGCCTTTCCTAAGGATGGAAGTGAATTCTGAAAGCCTTTATGTAGGCAGCAAAATACTCAGGGAACCGTTATTATGGCTATGTCTGTCCACGTAAAGCGAACACGACTCATAAGCAGAAAAAAATGCAGCCCGGGGGCAAGGTGAGCGCTAATGCTGCCTGTGCCTCGCCTCCCCGCCATGAGGAACGGAAGTGCAAGCGGAGGTGGTTGAGTTAGCCTCCAAGCTGGGTCTGCGCCCCCCTCACATCCCTCTGCATCTGCAGGGGCACAGGTCGTGCTGCCACCCCTCGCTCAGTGCCAGGGCTGATGCGTCAGGAACAGGCGGGGCTGTCCGCCCCTTGTTCGGTGCCAGGGCTGATCTGTCAGGATGCCTCATGTTCATCTGGTCCTCGTGTCTTCATCACCAGCCTTCTGCTCGTACTGGGCTTGTTATTACCTTGGTATGGGTTGTGGAGCGGTGCTCAGTCCTCCGAGGGAATCGGCCCTTAGCCGATTCATATTCAACAGGACCGGGGAATGGGTGCTTGTTCCATGTCCTGGATCCCAGGAAGCCCGTGCCCTGGACCCTGTAATGCCCAGGGTCTTCCTGAGAAACCCCGGTGCCACTGGAGCACAGCCCGGCCCGGCCCCCTCCAGGCATCCCTGTTTCTCCGCTTTGTAACTGCATTGTGTGTAGCAGGTCTTCCAGGACTTAGACGTTGCTTGGTGTGAGCCAGGTTTTGTGTGGAAAGAGGACAGGTCATAAGCAGAAGCCTGAGCCCTGGTCCGAGCCAGCAACCAACCAACCCAGAGCCATCTTTTATGCTTCCAGATTCTGTTGCCAAAAACTTACCCATGGACATTGAGGGTGATGCACTTCTGCTCCGAGACGTCTGTGGCCTCAGCTGGAGGGATGGAAAGGATGTGGAGCCTCTTCACTCCTGGCCTGGGCTTGGACCTGCTGTGCAGCCTCTCAGGGGCACCAGGGCCCCCGTGTGTCACAGCGGCCTCGGGTTGGTGGCACTGCCCCAGGATGTCCCAGGCTTCATGATGTCCAGGCTCCCCTGGCATGGCGGCCTCAGGTCAGGGGCCCTGCTCCGATGGACATCTCAGGCTCCATGATGCTAGGGCCTCCTTGTGCCATGGCGGCCTCGAGATGGTGGCACTGCCCCAGGGTGTCCCAGGCTCCAAGGCCAGTGTTCCTTCCAGCAAGGGCAAGTTGTACTATAAGGTCTAGTCTCGGAAGTGCCTGGGGTCCTATCCTTCAGAGCGGTCCCACGCCCACCACAAATCAAGCCAGGGGAGGCCTGCCAGAATTTGCAGCTGTGTTTCAGGTGGTCCCACCAGGCCTCTTATTTTGGCCTAGCCATGTATATAATTCTTTTTCTCTTTGGTTTTTTCGAGACAAGGTCTCACTTTTGTTGCCCAGGCAGTGGTGTGAGCACAGCTTACTGCAGCCTCGACCTCCAAGGCTCAAGCGATCCTCCTTCCTCAGCCTCCTGAGTAGCCAGGACCCACAGGCACATGTCCCCATGCCTGGCTTATTTTTGTTTTTTTTTTTTTTTTTTTTTTGTAGAGATGGAGCTTTGCAATGTTGCCCAGGCTGGACTCGAACTCCTGGACTTAAGCAGTCCAGCTTCCTCAGCCTCCCAAAATACTGAGATCACAGGCATGAGCCACCGTGCTTGGCCAAGCATGTTTCTAATTTCAAAATTAAGAGGACCCAGAGCCAGTTAATGACGTCTCTACTGGAACATGCTGCTTATAGTACGTTAAGAAAAATCGTCCAGAACTTGGAAAGGGGCTAGTCAGACACAGTCCTTCGAGGTTGTCTGAGCCCCTGGGGTCTTTAACCATCTGGAGGGATGTACCATGTCAGACTCACTGTTGTCGATGGGCTGAAGCCCAGGTTTCGTGAGGTCACATGTCGGCTTGCAGGACTTTCTCTGGCAGAGAGATGCGAGTGACTTCTGTTCACTGAGAGGCTCATCTCAGGGACTTCATGGCCTGAGGGACGGCAGCCTGTTTGAGCTGACCAAGCAGTCTCATGCTACCCTTATTTTTTGTAATGCCTGTGAGTGACTTTTCACACGTTCTTTGAAGCGGCTTCTTGCCCGTGTTACTTGTTAAGGAACGAATGCTTTTTTTTTTTTTGATCCCTCATCCCCTTTCTTTGGGGTGTTCCAGTCTCGGTTCTCACGTGTTCTGCTTCTACGGGAATTTCTGAAGCTGCTGAGTGTAGAAAGCACTGAGGAGGCTGTGCTCCTGTCCCCTGTGAGCCTTCCAGGCGGCCTCCTCTGCCCTCCAGGGAGTCAGGAGGAACCTTTCAAACCCTTCTTAATCTTGTTTTCATGTCTTTCTTTTAACAGATTTCTTGGCATCTTCTCCCTTATCCAGAAGTGAGGGTGAACGCCGAGTTATTCACAGGAGTCAAGAGACCACACACAGCCCAAAGTGACATTTGTTTCCCTGAAATGATTTGTGTGTGTTCACCTTAAAATGCAACTCGGTAAAACAGGTGTGTTTTGAGGAATGACTTTAAATTACCCAGGTAAAAATGTGACAGTTAAATTTCATCCAGTCTGTGCAGGTGTCCATAATCCCTTCTGTGGTTGCGTGTGAGTTTATGTGACTTGTGGTTATTTTTGAAGAAAGAAAATCTGTTGTTGCTGAGGACTTCAGATGGTGCGCTGGGATTGTGTGGGGCGGACATCGGGGGCTTCAGTGTGTGGCTTCCTTGAAGAGGTTCAAATTAAGGCTGAGCGTCCCTACTCCAAAATGCTCTGAAACAAACATTCCGAGCTCCCTCATGACACTCGAAGGAAATGCTCTTCGGAGCACTTTGGATTTCAGGCTGGGGATGCTCAACCAGAAAGTGAAATATTGCAAGACCCTTCTTGTCCCAGGAGCTTGGATGAGGACATGTGGCCTGTGCCGGGCATCCCTGGCGTGCGTGGCAGCCTGGGCTCCCTGGACTGGTTTTGTAGGAGCCACAGAAGGGAAGAGGCTCAAAGTGGCCATGCCTGACTCCTGAGAAGGGCGGACCAGAGGGGGTTGGGCACGGAGGGCAGCAGCGGAGTCCCCAGCGTCTGGAGCTCCTGTCCCTGTTGGAGCTGAGAGCCTCCTTTAGTTGTGGCCTCTGCCCTGTCAGCAGCCACTGAGGCCTGGAGGGGAGCTGGGGGCTGAGGGAGGAGGAGGGATGATAGGCCTGCTTCTGGAGAGGGCCGGCATCAGCCTGTGCTAGCCTCGTGTGCTACTCCTGCATCCAGGGTGCACGGATTCCTCGTGGCGCAGCAGTTCCCGGGGTGCACAGCGCTCTTGTGTGCAGTAACAGCTTTGTCTCCAACCCTTGGAGGCAAGTTACCTTTTATTCCCCCACAGTGAAAAGAGGTAGAAAATCTTATAGAAATGCATTTGCTGGAATGTCTATTTTCCGATAAAACATCGTACGCTTAGGCTAAATCTGAAAGTGTCTCCTAGTGAGTCTCGTGTGTAGAGTAAGAACAGTTCACGCATATCTTAAAGCAGGTAGATCTAGGAACACAGAGCATCCCGGTGCTAGGATGGAGTTTTCCACTAACTCTGGGAATGGAATCTGTAGAGCCTCGGGTGCCTTTGCACCATGAGGTTAGCCAGGTTAGCGAGGGTGCACTCACAGCCCTGCCTGTGCCGCATCCCTTCTGCTAGAGCGTCTGCTGGGGCCTGCGTGAGTCGCCTGAGCATTGCTGTTACCTTTTTCACTTGAGCCTTTTTACCGAATACTAGGATAAACTTGACCTCACATACTTTGTGGGGAGAGAGAGAAGTATATCTGGGACCTCTTTAATTATATGTTGGAAAATAGATTTGGGCAAAATATTTCTGCGTATGCGTGCTTGGTGGGCATGGGGTTCCCTGCCGCACCCTGAGGCACGTTCGCACATTTTGATTTAATCTTGAGCCTATGGCAACAAAACTGTAGAAGTTGGCTATGACTTACTTTCTAAAATCTAGAAATAAACATACACTTGGAATCATAATCTATTGGACTTCTTTGTAAAACCTGATTTGAGCTATCACTTTTGCTTTGTATAAACAATTTCATTTTTTTATTTAACGTGGCGTAGAATGAATGGAACAAATATTCAAACTCAAATTTAAAAATGAAGAATTGTTACCATTTTGTTTTTGTATCAACATATTGCTTCACCAAGTTTCTTCTTATAATAGTTATACTTTCTCTGAATGTAGCACAATTGTTATAGAATTAAGAAAAAGATTGGGCATGCTGACTTATGCTTGTAATGGCAGCTCTTTGGGATGCCAAGGCAGGAGGATCACTTGAGGCCAAGGAGTTCAAGACCAGCCTGGACAACAGAGCAAGACCCATCTCTATAACATCTCTATAACAGAAAAATTAGCTGAGTGTGGTGGTGCATGCCTGTGGTCCCTGCTACTCTGGAGGCTGAAGTGGGAAGATCACTTAAGGCTACAGTGAGCTGCGATTGCTCCACTGTACTCCAGTCTTGGCGACACAGCCAAGACCCTGTCTCAGAAAGAAAAAAAAAAATCCAGAAATATCATTTTCTTTTTTAATCATCCCAAAAGAGAAATCGGTTTTTTTCTAAGAATGTCAAGAGTAACTGATAAGATTCTTTCCTTGCATTGTTTCTCCTTTTCAAGTATTTAGAGTATTCTGTCCACATGGTCTCTCGTCATCTCGTTACAAATCAGCAGGTGTCTTCGAGGTTAGTGGTGGTTCCTGTGTTGCACCTTGGAGAACAGCCATCATGAAACCTCTTACCATGATCGTGCACATTGTAGTCCCAATTAAAATCCTCTGCAGAGACGCCTGTGCTGCTTATTAGAGCAGAACTTTGGTTGTGCTAAAACGTGCATTCAGCGAATGGTTTTAAGTTCATATCTGAGATGATGCTGTAGAATTCATTAATCATATGGGATCAGTAATGATGGCAGGTAATTCTGGCTGATGTCACTTAGAGGATATTTTTCACTTCAAGTTACAACTTCCTTCGTGATAGTCATTTTGGGATTCATTTAAATATGTGCTTTATTTCACAGCTCAGATTTTCATTAGACATTTCATAACATAGGATTTTGAAAGCAGATTTGGCAAAATCTTTCTAGCAAAATGTCTGACGTCAGAAGGAACAGCACTCAGAATTACTGGTAACTGTGGTCCATTTTAAGGCTGATGATAGAAGTCACTTGAACGGTTAGGGCTGCTTTGTGAGGCGGATGGGGTTTTTGAACCCTGACCCTCCTGACACGCCAGCCCTGGCCCTGGCCTTCTCTCCTCTCCTCTCCTCTCCACTGGGAGATGAGAAGGTGCCAGCATCCACCTCACAGGCCATCGTGAGAACCCGGGACTCAGGGTTTGTGTTCCTCTTGCAGGTGGCGCCGCAGATGTGGGGGCCTGACGATATATACACACTGCAGGCTGCCAGTGTCGGGGTAATCCAGTTTTCGTCAAAAGGTGGGATTTGCTTTGCTCCCCTGCGGACCAGGTGCGGTGCTGCTGTTGCAGCAGGTGTGTGGATCCTCTTGGGTGGTCCTCAGGTGGACAAGGAGTCACCGATTCCGATTCCCAGGGTTAGATGTGAGCGGGGACCATGGACCTCATGTGTTCAGAGGGGAGAAGTAGTAACAAAGCTTCCCTTGTAATTCCAGGACCGTCTATCCCAGGAATGCCAAACCCCACTGGCTTTCACCCGACGCTGTCGTAGGTGACGCCGTATGGAAATGAGGACCCATGTGCCGCATACCTGAGCCCCCAGTACCCGTCTCCCTCGAGGGCCGTGGCCGAGCCCTCCTGATTTCGCTGGGTTGCCAGCCTGGGGATCTGTAAGCCCAGCGACGCCTGCGGTCTCGGCCCCCCTCCCCGTGGGGACAGGAGGTGGCTTCCGGAGGCTGGTGATGAATGCCTGAATGAAGCCGACTTGTGACTGCAGTTCTGTCTAAGGGCCTCCCCGGGTGTTAGATGTCAGTAAATGACACCTGTGTGTGTGGATCTCATGTGATGAGAGAAAGAGTGGGGGAAACCAAAGCTTGTGGAGTCTGCAGGTTCTGGACTTGGGGATGTGTGCACCTGTGTACTTGGTGAGGGGTGTGAGGTCTGGAATGAGTGTGCACGTGTGTCACGTTTGTGCGTGTGTGGTGAGTGTATTTAGCAGGTGTGTGTGGAGTGAGCATGTTCATGCGTGTGTCGTGTATATTGGAGGGTGTGTGGAGTGTGTACACGCATCACATTTGGTGAGTGTATTTGAGGGTGTGTATGGAGTGCATAGATGCGTTTGCGTGTATAGTATCGGGTGAAGGGGTGGCATGTGTGGAGTAAGCATGCACACGTGTGTGCTGTGTGTGGGGTTTCTGCCTGGTCCTCCCCTGAGCCTGCTCCTGGGCCCTGCTGTCCTGGCAGCTTTACAGTTTGGTGTGTCTTTGATTCCGGAAGATTCTGGAACCCGACTCTGAAGCTGTGATCGCAAACTTGCAGCCCTTGGAGGACGCTGGCCCGTGGAGCCGGCACGAGGATCTCTGGGCTGGGCTGGGCTGGGCTCCTCTGTCCACAGCAGAGCGTGTCCGATGATTGAGCTGTGCGGGTCTGTGGCTCCCCAGCCTCGAGTCAGCCCTCGGTTCTGGTCCCGCCTCTGTTTTTCTTGCTGAGGGGCTCCGGGAAGTGGTGCCTGGGATGACGTTTTCACCCTGGGGTTGCTTCGCCTGCTGCCCAGGTGCTGGCTGCCTGAGCCCTGCTGCCGTCCTGGGTGGACGGGGCTGGCGCGGGGACATCCCTGAGCACCTGCGGGAAGGCAGGTTTAGGAAGTGCCAGAGGTGAGTGGCTTCCTCCCAGACTTGATTTTCTGGAAAGTTCTGGGCCTCATATTTTTCCCTAAGGGAAGTTAGGAACTGAGTTTCTCTTCAGGGGAACGTCTTTGCAGCGTCTGTTGTTAGAATGTTCTCCAGGTGTGGAATACCCGGGGCCGTGTGTGTTTGGGAACATCCGTGTCCTGAGCCAATTCAGTGGGGAATGGAGAGAGGCCTCCCTCCTGTCAGCTTGGCCTCTGTTTCCGGCTTGCGAGTTGTGAGGGTTGGCGGCTGCTGGTATCCCAGGGAGAGGGAAACACTGGGTGGCGTGGGATGGGAACGTTCGCTCTGACCAGGTCAGTGGGAAAGCGTCTAAGCAAACGTCGCTGTTGTCCGGGCTCCTCGGGGTCGAGCTTGTTTTGTGGTGTTGAGGGAAAAGCTACCCTTGTTCCTGTTCCTCACCATTTGAATGGTGTCCAGGGCTTGTTCCGCCGGAGAGGTGATGCGCGTGAATGGGGGTCAGGTCGCAGGCTCCGAGGTTATTTGGAATCTGTCAACGGACTTCCTAAACACACCGGTGCTTGGTAAAGAGATGTTCCTGATTGGCTAAAACATCTCAACAGGACGTGATAGCTGGTGGTGGTTTAAAGACTACCACAATTTTCCTGTTACTTTTTAAATGCCTGTTGAATAGGGGAGGATTCACATAGTTTTCTTTTCCCGTCTGCGTACTTGATACTTTGTTTGTTTGTGTTTTTATGTGGGTGTGCAGTTAACAGGATTTCGAAGCAGTCTCAGCCCTGGGGAGACTTCAGGGCAGCCTCAGTCAGCGCTGAAGGGAGGCAGGGATTTGGGGGCTACCTCCTCCACAGGACGCGGACACCAAGGGCCAGAGGTCAGCAATCTCAGTGAGGTGACACAGACGGGCACACCCAGCACCCTGGCCCCTGTGCCTCTCCTTCACGTTTGTCTCTGCTCCAAGCTGCTCTCCTGGGTCATCACGGGTGATCTCTAGGCGCGTGCTTGGTTCTTGCAGAAGTGGTGTCTGGCTGTGGTCAGTGGGGGCTCTCGGGACTTCCATGTTTTTGGCTCCCGTCAATATTGGGCAGTGTGGTGTATGTTTGTTTTGGAGTGGTAGATCCGGGTGGATTTTGGCTTTGCCAACTCATTTAATACGTGTTTCTCCTGTTTCTGTATCGGGTGTTCTCTGGTTAGAAAGGGGGATGACGGTGGTGGAACGGCTTCTGGCTGTTGAGCCCCTGCTGAGAGCTGTTTGGCGTGCACAGATCCGTTTCGGCACAATCTCTATGAGCAGCCCTGGGCAGTGCAGAAAGCGAGGCCCAGGTGAGGCTGTCGGACACAGGAGCGCCCTGACCTGTGTGCTTTCAGCCTCTGAGCCGCCCCTCTCCTGACTGCTTACCAAGCTGTATCGATACTGAAATCTGAGCATTGAAAAGTCACCAGGGGAATGCCATTTCCAGGGATCTTACTGTGAACCTTCTGTTAAAGGTTCCATGTCGAATAATGAATTGCCTTTGAATGCAGGTACCAAACAGGCTCCCTGGGATAACTCATTCCATAGACACTTTTTAAAATAATGTTCCCAACTAGCTATCCTTTACATTCTTTCTACTTAAGAGGTGCTCTGCTCTCCTGTGCGCTTTAGTGATATGCCGTGTTTGCTTTGCGTGCCTTGGGTTTTCAGAAGAAAACCGTGTTTGCAGGTACACTTGGAGTACAACATTCTTCTTCCTATTAGTGTAGATGCTCCATGAGAGGAGATATGCTCATGCATTTCTGTGTGTTTTGTGGGGAATAAAAGTAGTCGCCGGCTCTAGCAAACCTAGAAGATGCCCAAAAGGTGATACACGTGAAAATACGCGGCCACTGCCATAAATCGCCTTGTATTATGTGTGGCAAAGTGCTGTGTGTGTGCTGTCTATGGAGAAAATGAGTCTTCCCTCTTTTCCCAAGAGGTAACAGTTGAATAGACTTCAGAAGTTGTCTTATTTGCAAATGGTACCCTCCTTCCATTGTTTTGAGACGTCGTCATAGGAACTCACACATGGAATTGTTTTCTCAGTTAGAACCTCCAGGTTTTGTCATAGTCCCTTTGTGTCATTACAGCGTCTGGTTCCACTTTATTTAAAGCAGGAAGAGGCCAGCCACGTGGCCTCGCTGGTGCTTCCCAAGCACAGGGTGTCATAAGGGGCGTGAGCACTTGGTTGGGAGACGTGCTGTTCTTCCTGATAGAAACCCTATGGTGCCATTCGCTAGTCCCCTGCGGTGTTTCTTCCACCCTAAATGCAGCCAGTTTCTGTTGGTTTGTATTTTCCGAGACAGGGTCTTGCTCTGTCACCCAGGCTGGCATGCGGTGGCGTGATCCCTGGCTCAGGCGATCCTCCCACCTCAGTCACCCGAGCAGCTGGGACCTCGGGCGCGCACCAGCATGCCTGGCTAATTTTCTTTTCTCTGTTGCAGGGATGGGGTCTTGTTGTGTTGCCCAGGTGTGGCTCTGTTTTCTGTTGAGTGTACAGTGGGTTTTTATGGGGAACCTCTGTATTTGGGTCGGGGGTGTGGCATCCTGGTCAGGAAATGGCCCTCAGGCTTCCTTCCTGCCCAGCAGGGTCACGAGTGGTGTCTCCACCTGGGCTGGTGTGTGTGCTGGCCAGTAGGGCTTAGTCCTGGACTGCAGACTGGTACTGGTCCATGGTCTGTTAGGAACCGGGGTCATAGCCGGAGGTGAGTGGCGGGCGAAGTAGGCATGACCGCCTGAGCTCTGCCTCCTCTTGGATCAGCGGCAGCATTTAGATTCTCCTAGGCGCTGGGACCCTCTCGTAAGCCGCGTGTTCTCCTAGGCGCTGGGACCCTATTGTAAACGGCATGTGAGGGATCTCGGAGGTGCTCCTTATGAGGATCCAATGCCTGACCTGAGGTGGAACAGTTGCATTTCAAAACCACCCCTCAGAAAAATGGTCTTCCACGATACCCATCCCTGGTGCCAAGAAGGCTGGGGGACAGCTGGCCTAACGCGTGGATGATGTCAGTAGATTTTTGGACCTCGGGCCGCAGTTGGAGAGGATTAGATTTTGAAAGGTGGGGGATTGAAGGCTTCTAAAGGGCAGGTTTCATCTCCAGTGGGGCCTGGGCAGAACTGGGTAGAACTGACCCAGAACCTGATGATTAGTCGGCTAGCTCACTGCCTGCATCCTGTGTATGCAGCCTTGCTGTTTATTCAATTGTCTCGTCGTGTGTGGATTCCATCCACGCCTCAGAGTAGTGGAACCCATTACTTCAAGGCTGACCTGATTTAACTTTATCAAAAAAAATTAAAATCACTGAGTATAAATCTTCCAGACACCCGTATCCTTTTTTTTTCCCAGAGGCTTTAAATATTGCAACTTAAAAATCTTCAAAAATAACTTTAAAAGAAAACCTCTAAGTACATTTTTGATGAGCGTCCTTGACAGCTTTAATATGTGAAGTAAATTACCTTGACTTGCATTCCTAGAAACTCGTTCGTATTTGCAGAAGACTTTGTATTTTGTCAACAGTGGCCACTGTTTTGTGACCATCATACCTGTCGTCTCATTTAGAAAGTTGGATGTGGATGTATTAACTTCTCAGACATACAAACACATGGGCTGTTTGTTTTTGGTTTTGATTTTTTTTTGTTCCCCCACCCCCCTCCCCGAGCTGAATTCAAGAAAGGGAAACAAGTAGACTAGAGTAAGTACCAGAAAGCGTCTAAGTGGCTGGGTGGGGGATCCTACTATGGTGTTGCATTTTGTTCTGCCAGACATTGCTCCTCAAAAAGCTGACCCTGAAAGGGCTGGCATTGCCCTCACTCTGGGACATTCGTCTGTCTCACCAGAAAATGAAGAATCTGCCAGAGGTACCGCTGAGTCAAATTCAGTCAAAACTCGATTAAATAAAAGAGGCTTTGTCTCAAAGGCCAAACATGAGGACACACTTCTAATTTTTAAGGAGCGCTTCATCGTGGGTCAGTCCTGACGTGTACTGCATTAGAAACCTCTGAACTTCCACGGTCAGGCCCAGAGCTCTGAGGGAAAGTGGTTGTGCCCTTCCACTGTTTCTGTCACTAGTTTTATTCATTAATTTCCTTAAAACCCTTTTTGTATGAGTTCTATTATAGTTTGGAAAAAAATTCACATAGGTAGAACTGGAAGCGTTCCACCAGTGTTAATACTCATGACCCGTTCTGGGTCTCGGTATATGTGTACTGTATAAATGTACATGTGTGTATGTGGTGTTGCATACTAAGTGTATTTCACTGCATGTATTGACAGTGTATAGGTATGTACACTACATATGTCCTACACACGTACATGCTGTAGGCATGCATGTACACGTGTATGTGTGTAACTGGGCACTATGGTTATATGCACACTACTTGGACACCTATCTGTTCTGCATGTGTACATACATGCATGTGTTTAATGCCATATACATACCTGTGTACGTACACCATGTGGTTATGTGCACATTATTTGTACACATGTATATATACATATGTGCACACAAGCATGCATGTACACTACGCACACTAAAGTTCTGGATATGTACACACTAAACATATACATGCTGCATATGTAGTACACTGTTGCATATGTGTATACTGTAGACTTATACGTTAGTGTACTGGATGTACATTGTATACATGTGCATATGTGTACACTGTGCATGTGTATGCGTGCTGTAGTGCACCTACATACATTGGATAAGAATGTACGCTATATGCATGCGTATACATATGCAAATAGCATACCTGTGTACACACGGATGTGCATGTGTATGCCATATGCATGTACATACAGGTTATAGTAATCTGTGTATACTTTTACATATAGATGTGTGTACATGCTATGCATGTGCATACATGTTAGCATACCTACGTACACATGCTATATGGATAGGGATGTGTGTATGCTCTATGCTTGCACACGTAGTGAACTCTTGTACACTATACATATGTGGATGTGTACACTATGCAGGTACACTACATGGATCTGGATGTGTGTGCACTCTGTACGCATGTAGTGCACTTATGTACACCCATACGTATTAGGATGTGTGTACGCTCCTCTGCATGTACACGTGGTACAGTGTACCATATACGTATACTTTGTGAGTGTAAATGTGTGTGCGTTCTATGGCACCAGGAATAGGGCTCCCGCAGGGATCCAAGAACGCACCATCTCGCTGGCACCAGAATGTAGGATGAAAACAGTTGTTTGTTGCAACCGAGTTGAAATTTGGAGTTCCTATACCCTTTGTAACGATTAAGGAACAATCACTTCATTGATGTGTGTGTTCCTGAAATCACAAACAGCTCTGTGAGGTGTGTCTCACTCCCAGATGAGAGAGGGAACCGAAACAACAATGACTCGGTCACTGAAGTGAGGTAGAATGAACATAGCAGCTGTCTAGCTTTCCAATATAACTTGTTCAGCAGCTCAATGAGAAATCGCCACTCATCAGGAAATGTGTCCATTTTCTACTGTTCTTTATTCGTGGCATATTACTGCCTTGGTTATTCCTAACGATGTATGCAAAATCCCTTCTAGAGTTGTGAATATAAACAGTTCATGAGAAATGTAGTATATTCTTGTTAACATTGAAAATGATATGTAAGTTCATCTTCAGGTACTGTTTGGAAGGATGAGAAAGAAGATATTTAGGACAAAAAATAGAGAGCTTTCAAGTAAACAGGGAAAATAAGGGCTTATGCAAAATATTTCCAAATTGGGAATTTGAGAATAATACATCCACATCTAAGACCGTAGGTAGTTTTTTGGGTTTTTAACATTAGTACTTGGTTTTCCATGCCTTTGGGGATTTTCCTCCTGATGGAGGCTGCAAGAATAACTGATTTTTCAGAACAGAAGGGACAGTCTGTCTCTAAAGGTAAATTCCAGGTTCTACCATAGAGAAATAGAAATTGCTGCCAATTTTCTGTAAGTTCTTCAGTTCTTTCCTTTTCTGTGGTTAAAAAACCATCTCTGGGGCTGGGTGCGGTGGCTCACGCCTGTAATCCCAGCACTTTGGGAGACTGAGGTGGGTGAT